AGGGCTTCATGCACTTCAAGCTGCGGTCACTTCTGATGCATTATATAAGGCAAAATCTAAACATCAATTTCAACAAATTATTCCTGCTCTTTTAAAAAATTTGACTGATGATGAGATTGGTTTAGAACATTTACAAAAAATGTAAGTAAAAGAGAAAAGACTCCAATAGAATTTTTATTTTATTGCTGTCTTAATAATAATTATAAATATATAAATTTTTAATATTCGTCTATATTATTATTATCACCAATTACTATTTATAGCGAAATGGAAGAAAATAACAATAATAGTGATGGTCATTCAAAACCAAATCAATTCTCCATAAATTCTACAACAATTTCAGCTGAGCAAAATGCGCGACTAGCTTATAATTGTTACAAACAAGTATTTAAATATGCCAACACTTCAAATATTAATATGTCTCTTAATCCAACTTTTGCCTTTTTAGACGATAACAATCTTTGGTTGCCATCATCTTTTGGTATTAGTTTAGCTTTTGTTGTCATTTCTTCCTTGCAGGTAATCTACATATATAGATATAAGATATATGCATATTTTTCTCGCAAAGATTCATTAATCTAATAAGTTTATCCTTTTTTTAAAAAATAGCCAGTATTTCGTCATACACTTGTTACCAAAATAATACAGGAACTAAATTCATTGATTAATGTGGCAGAATCTTTACCCAAAAAATTCACATTGATCGAGATGTTAACCTCCATTCTTACCAATAAAGTTAACCTGGTCAACTATTCGATTATAGAAGTTTTGGGTTGTTTGTTGCGTCATTTGTTAAATTCTGTAAAATTAAGGGATCAAAATTTGGAAGTCGCAAATTTAAATAGTGATGAGAAAGCATCTGTGGCTGAAACTTCTTTGATTAAAAAATCTGCTGAATTGGAAGAAATGAATGCTCAACGACTTTTCACTTGCATAGGTACATTTTAATATTACAATTATTATTAATTGAGCATAGAAATTTATTAATAAATATAATTTGATTTTAGGTGCGCTTGCAATACATATATATTATGCCAATCAAGTCAATGATATAATGGAACATATTATTCAACATTTACAGTTACAACCTGAATCGGATACTCAAGAAAAAAACAACAACAACAGCAACAGCAAAAACAGTAATGGTAATAATAATAATACTCATATCAGTTAATAATATAACTGATAATAACACTGGCATCACATTTACCAATGTTCTTATTTTTATTATTAAAGGAATTTCTATTAGTGACTCAAGAAAAACTTTATTGAAATGTCTGGATACTGTTCTTAAAAAGAATAACGAATCTAAAAAACTTTACCCTGAATATCCAAGAAATGAAATTCAAATTGAAACGTTTCAAAAGACTACTGGGCTTTGCTCTGATGATGACCATGGTACACTATTAATTTTATATATATTTATTTATTGTTTTGTGTGTGGTTAATCAATTGATTTGTATTTACAAAGATTAACTAACATCTTATCATTTTTTTTTGAATTTTTTTTTGCAGAAGTGAGAATAGCATATGCACAAGTATTATTGACACTTTTAGAAAGTTCTGATTTACCACTAGAACCGAAGGAAACAGATACATCAAATGTAATTAATTATAATCAATCAATCAATTTTTTTATTTACTAAAAGACTTTTAATATTGACCTTTTTTCTTTCATTTTATAATTGTAACTGTTATTATAATTAATAGATTACCACATATTTCAAACAACCATCAATACATTTTTTAAATTCATTGCATTTGTCATTATACCAATTTTTACTATCACAAAAATCTACTCCGCAAGATTATATAACTTTATCCACTATTCTTCGTGCTCTATTTAATCGTTTTCATGTTGACCAAGTCATTTGTGGTGTACCAGTTGTCTTCAAATTACAGGTATGTTGAATAATAATAATTATTATATGCTTATTTGTATTAAAATCTTAAATTTATTATAATTTATAATTTATAATTTACAAATATATATATATATATATATATATATATATATAGCTTGAAGCTAAAGAAGAAAAGCTTGAAAATTATACCCGTCAACGAGCATTGGCTAGTATTATTGTATTATACTTTTATGATATTGCAACTGGTTTAAAAATTTCAGAATTACAAGATTATATCAAAAAAGTAAGAAAATTTCTATTATAGTATATGACTCCAACAATCAAAAAGTAATCTCTTTTTCTCCCACACAAAAAAATTTATGTAGATTGAAGAAGAAAGATTAAATAAAAATCAATGGTCAACTTATATTGAAAATATTTCATCACCATCATCAACATCATCAACAACAACATCATCAACTTTTACAGTTTTTGAAGATGAGGAAATATCCAACAAGCCAAATCAACTATTGCAACCAGTTGACATTTGGCTTGATCATCAAATTATAGTACCTTTACTTTGTAAACATAAAGAATTAACAGATATAGGCGGCAAACAATTAGAGGAAAATTTGATGGCGGAATGGAACCCCGAAGAAGGATTTGAAAGATTGAAATGTGAAGTTTCAAAGATTAGATCATCAAGAATTCTTGGTAATGAAAAACCTCATTTTGCAATCACTCCACCCATTTTTACTCATCATGAAGATAGTTCTGGTGATTTACCTAAACCAACTATCAAAGTAGAAAATTTAAGAGATGCACTAGGTAATTACTATTATTATTATTATTATTATTATTATTATTATTATTATTATTTTTATTATTATCATTTAGTGACGATTTTGAATGATTAATTTAATTATTAAATATAATAATACTATTACATAGTTGTACAGCAACTAGTTTCAAATGATGCATCTGAACATGAGAATTCTGTAGTATCTGATTTAGAATCGATTAATTATTCGTGGAATAGTGTTAATGGGAAAAAAGAAAAGAAAACTCCTCAGAAAGATACAATAGCCTTTTTATCATCTTTATCATCTATCGACACTATTAAATCTGCAAGGTATTTATTTGTTTAACTTATAGTTGGAAATAATATATATGATAATATTAAACTTTTAAAAAAAATTTTTTTTTGTCAATAGTGCACGTTTAATAAATCCACCTTATGAATCTTAATGTATATTTTGTATATTAATAATAATTTTCGCTTATTTATTTAATTTTAAATATATATATATATTTAATACGAACAATTCAGATAGATTTTCACAAAAAAGTTTTTTCGGAGTCTTGTAGATTAGAAAATAGAGTTTTTTTTTCTTTTTTTCGTTCCTTTTATTGTATTAACAGTATTTAAAAATCAAAAGCATTCACTAATGCATACTAATTAACATACACACATATAATACCAATTAATTATATTGTTGAAATCATACAAAATAACTAAAAAACTATTATTAAATAGTCATAATAATACTTGTCATAGTTTATTGTTGTAAAGCATTGTAACTTTTAATAAATATGTAGCAACTCATTAATTAAATTATTATTAACATAAAATCAATTTAATCAATTCAATCAATTTAATTGATTATTCTTGCTCAATATATATGTACGTATACATTACCAGCTTGTTCTGACTAATGGGATCCTTTCGTAACATTTATATTAATATCAGCTTTAAATCTTTCCAGTAAACTTCCTAACAATTTAACAATCCAATTAATGTAGCCATAAAGCAATGAGATATGATTGTGTGAATTCAATTACAATATGATTGTTCTAGTCATCTACATTGATATGCTCAAGTTGCACCATATTCAGTTGTTCAAGAGTTAACGAATGTTATATAGATTTGATATTGATCCAATTAAATTTCAACTGGTTCCATGAAAAATAATTATGTTAGATTTAAATTATTTATAATTACTAAAAATGGATAAGATAAATTATCTTGAGACCTGAGATTTATTGATCAACTAAAACAGATAAACAAATAAAAAAATAATATTTTTATTTCTAAAAAAACAATTGAAGAAAATTGTTGATTATACTAAACATTAAAACAGGTTTTTTTATCTTAGAATTAATGCACAATGTAGTCTTCTGAGATTTTTGCTGAATGTATCATTTGATCTAATAAAATCTATTTGAATCTACTAAAACAAATAAACAAATGGATAAATTTATTATTTATCAAAAAAAGGAATAAAGAAACTTTAAAGTATATAAATATGGACCGAGATTGATGTATCAAAAAAAATTTTGCAACATTAAAAAATCATTAAACTTTATACATTTAAAATAAATATTTTGAACCAATTCTTTAAAAACAATGCTGTTTAAATTGACTACTGCTTGTGTGATCAAATTCAATCATTAACACCAAAGGAACAAAATTAATTATTTCGTAATAAAAGCTATTTGTTTGTTTTATTTATTGTTGTTTTTTTAATTTTAGTATTAATGCATGGTTTCTATTCATAATACAGTCTGAACTCGTTAAACCAAAGTTAATATTTTCAATAAAAAAAAAACTTTAATTTAAAAACCTTAATAAAATCGGCTTATTGGGGTAAATTTGATAGGTAGATAATAAAACAACATCAGTTTATTGTGCATATTCGGTTTATCAAAGCATTTTGTCTTAACGAGTTTTGACTGTACGTTTTATTCGTTTTTTTATTTGTTTTATTCGCTTTTATTCATTTTATTCATTTTATTCATTTTATTTGTTTTATTCTCTTTTATTCTCTTTTATTCGCTTTTATTCGTTTTATTCACTTTTATTCACTTTTATTCGTTTTATTCGTTTTATTCACTTTTATTCGTTTTTTTATTCGTTTTATTTGCTTTTATTCAAATTATTATTATTCATTTTATTCAAATTATTTTTACTCAAATTGTTTGTTTTATTCAAGCAAACCTTATTTGAATAGAAACCTAACTACTGTCAAGTTATAATATTATTTTAGTACAAAGAGCTTTAGAAATATTTAACCAATAACTTAATTACAATATAAAAGAGTTATTGGTTTATTAAATTAAGCCAATAATTAACTAAAAAATAAGATTAATATCAAAAGAATACTGTATCTGATAATTTCATTCAATATTTACTAATAGGCTTTTAGACTATATGATAAATACAAAGAATATTATTAACTTATCAGTATGCTAATACCTTAATTATTTTTTTTTAAAGAATAATCAGATTCTGATATTTGCTGAATACCCCATTACCCAATTTGGCATCATTTGACCAGTAAAAAGAGAACCAATAGATTATATATAAGCAAAGAAATATGGGAGCACAAAAGAATTTTAAATCATGTACAAACATAACAGCTTGATAGCTTGATTGATTTAGTGGTGCAGTCTTGCAATTTTTTTATTGTATATTTTAAATACAATTAAATCATACATCTTTAACAAAATAAACATGACTAAGTTATTTAATCATTTCCTTGTATGTGAATGCCTTCATCCATTGAATATTCATGATGTCATGATTATTATGCAATATGTTAGATGTCATATTTGATATAACAAACAATTGCATCACCCAGGTAGTAATGATACCAAGGCCATGCACAAATGAAACTTTTAATAATGCATGTCTACCCAGATCTCTGGGATTCAGAATAATAAATCATTTTCCTGATTATCAGTTATGGTTCCTTAGGAATAATAAATCTGATGTTAATCACAGGTGTCAGACTTAATTGAAATTTCCTGTCACAAACAAGTCAACAGGTGCTTTCACACGCCTCATAACCATGGAATTTTTTCCACAGGTAAGGTGAAAAAGTGTTGGAAGGCTTTGGACAAAACTTTTCTTTATCTTCCCCTCAGACCAGGCTTGCTGTTACCAAATGGGCATTGTTGCTGATATCAGCATTTGTGTGATGATTGCTGTGTGTTATTGTCACACTAGAATAAGACTGGTTGAAAATTCTGCAACTCTGGAGGTTGTAACCTGGATTGCTGTTTTGGATTTTCTCTGAATTCAGAGTTTTGAGTCCTGGGGTTGCTGTAATTTTTTGAAAAGAAAAGTATAAATATTTAACAATTAATTATTTAAATGTTTATTTTGTTGAAAAAAATATACATTGATAGTGTATATTTTCTGTGCTTAACATCCATGTGACCCTAAGTCTGGACAAAAGATCCCTTTCTATGAGTTTGGCTGGTATATCTCAAAGTCATCTCCTGTCTTATCAGTGGCATGCCTACTCACCAACAACCCTACCCCCATTTAAATAACAAATTCAGTTGGTCAAATAAAAATTAAAGAGAAACATAGAATTTGGGAATGATTAATTTATAACATACCAAACAAAATCTGAACCATTTTATAACTTTTTCTTGTTGGCCATATTGCTGGCAAAGATGTATATAATCATGCAATAATTTAATCTACAAGACAGAGGGCTGGTTGGGCAAAAACCCAATCCAATTCCCTACCCAAAATCATAAATTGGTTAGTATCAGAGAAACTGAGCATTTATGAAAATGATTATACAAAACAAACACTATTTTACAACTTTCCTCTTAACATCAGAGTCCAAGTGCAATTTCAGGGCCACCAACCCTGCTCTGAATTGTGACCTCCTGTGCTTGATACAAGCTGCAGATTCTCTTAATATTCATCAGCAGAGTTGCAACAGCTTGGTCACAGAGCCATCCTTACCCTAGAGTAGGATCATTGCAGGCAACTTTTTGACCAGCATGCCAGCAGCCTTCTCTGGTCTGGGAGGATTAGTGAAAATGTCATTGATTATTGATGCAGTTTTGGTAAACTCCAGGGCTTTGCGCCCCCCCCTGAAAATTCAGTTGCATCGTTGTATCATTGGAAGCACCATGGTCAAATTAGCCTTATGTACACAAGGAACGTGTGAGAATGGCTGTAAGTGTTCAAGGTAGCATGCATGCTTCAACACCTGTTAATTTCTGATAATCAAATGTTGCATATTCGAATCATTTCTTTTTTAATGGTGTATTGCCTTGACATCTTGTAATTATAACATTATAATTAATATTATTATTATTAATGATTACAAAAAGCAAAATATTATCAATGAAAATCTTGTAATTACCCAGCAAGATCTGCTCTGCATTTTGATTTCCAATTAAAATATTTATAAAATATCAATACAAAATAAAAAATAGTACCTCTGGTTAGTTATTAACACGTATTCTTTAGGGGACCCAAACCAAACCAAACAACAACACTCACGTTTTGTCACCTTGGACTCTGTCAAAAAATAAATTGTTTTTCCAAAAAAAAAAAACCATTCGCATCTGTCCTACCAAAAAAAAAAACCAATAGGATAAATAATTAGCATGTATGCATCGATCATTCACAAACTTTTTTTTTCTTTTAAAAATTTAAAAAATGTCCAACAGATTAAAAAATACGCAAAAAAGAAACAGAGACAATCAAGAAGAATTTGAAAAAAGGTAAGTGTTTTAAGGATGGTGGTGGTGGTTATCGCCCACCACTTGTTGTCACTCTAGTTAAATTGTTAAAAATGGATGTGGTTTAATCATTACAACACTTGTTTTTAAAAAAAAAAAGGTCATTGTCACTTGTCATTATCTTAATCAATTATTATAAACTATTTTTATTTAATTACCAGTGATAAAGTAGTAGCTAATCTACCAATCGAACTCCTAGCCAAAATATTTAAATATAATGATGATGATTATGATACATTACATTCATGTATTCTTGTCAATAGACAATGGCACAATTCCAATATTCCAGCTCTATGGAAAGATCCATTTTACTCACTAGATAGCACCAAAATAATCATTAATTGTTTATTAAAAGAAGACAAAAATTTCTTAACTAGAAAAAACTTCAAATTAACATTTGAATTATTAGATAAACCACCATTATTTAATTATGCAAAATTTTGTACTAGACTTTACTTCTATTTTATTAATGATGATCAACTTAAAGAATTAGTAATGACTTCTAGCTCTACTAAATCAGAAGAAATTTTATGGAACAGCTTAGTGAATTTTATTATAGATAATTCAGGAGTAATCAAAGAATTTAGCACATTAAATTTAGACCTTCGTCTAATCTACAAGCATCATAAATTTGTTGATTGTTTTAATTATCTCAACAAACTAGACTGTGAATTTTCTAGCAGATCCTATTCCAACTTCATTGGCAAGTTAACAAACATCTGCAAATCTATCCAATCAATTGGAATAGATATATTGTGAGATTGTAAATGAGGACTGGGGAAGTCCCAGGCATGTCGATCAATCGAAACCAACTTACTGTGTTAATCACGTGATTATGACATCATTTTCTATTTTTATCTTAATATTTTGCGTAACAACTACGCCACATACTGCATCATGCTACACATGTAGATCATTACATCATTTCTATTTTTAACTTATTTTATGACATAATTATTTACTTCGAATTATTAATTCAATTATTTGTAATAGTGACTCATAGGTTTAGTCATTATGAGTCATAGCATTAGTAATTAATGATTAGTAAGCTAGTATTACAGAAATAGGATTAATAAGCATATATTATTGGACAAAATATTGTAAAGGTCATGTTACTTGTAATACCTCAAGAGGTATAAAAGAGCTTGGTTTTAGACCAAGTGAGAATCATCATGTTCATGATACAACAATAATAATAATATAGTAACCTTGTAACAGAAATATTATCGCTAATAAAGACACATAACATATTTACAATAAACATTTGAACTCTTAATAAACCCCTTGATAAACCTTTGCTGAAAAGCATACACCACCTTAAATTAAGACCATACTAACTAAGGGACGCCTTAGTAAGACAGTGGAGTATTTACTGATCATTTTTAGGCTTTTGCCAGCAGTACTTCCATTAGTACTAAAGAGAGAGATTGTGCAACAGAGTGAGATTTGAGTAGGCTCTGAGCTGTGTGTCAATACAGGGAGATTTATATATTGGACATTTATTTCATTTATTTTATTTTGTATATTTATTGGACACATTACAAGCTGTATTTGAATTTACATGCTCGCAATATTATTAATGATGACAAAAAAAAAGAAGACTCATTAGCTCAACTAATTTTAACACAAAATAAAATAGAAGAATTAATAGTCATTAATAGTAACATGGAAGTCAGATGATGATATTATTATTAACACAACTTTATCAAATAGTATAAAGGAAGCAATACAGACACATTCACAATCAATGGTTTACTATTTAAGCAATGGAGAAAATAATATGGACTTTAGATTAATATCAATGCTGAAAAATTTAAAGACATTGTTACTTTCTAACAAGAAAATAAATTATTTGGAAGATGTTTCACTCCCAAATATTGATTATATATTTTTACGTGTTGATAATATTTCATCTGTATTGGATTCTGACTTATCTCAGTTAAATTGTTTCATAAAATTTATGGAGATTAATGGAAAAATAATTAAACATTTAGATCTTGGTGGTTTCCCAGAAGATCCAGAATCTTTAGGTCAGCAATTTGAAACAATTGCACAACATTGTAAGGAACAACAACAATAATAACAATAATAATAATAGTGGCAAGGCAGGAGTTGTTTGTTATCGCTGCAGAGAACCAGGACACTATAGTATGAACTGTCCCCAAAATAATAATGGGAATAATGGACCTAATAAAATTATCAATATATTATAGAAATGAGGTAGATTAGGAATTAGTAAAAATAATTAATAATTGTAGTAAGCTAGAAAGCATTGAATTTAGAAATGATCACAGTAATAAAAAAATCAGTTGCAATAATATTTTGTGATCATCACTCCAAACAACACCAAGAAAATTGAAAACAATAAGTTTTTCCTGTAAGATTAAATATCCCAATGAAAATTTATTTGACAAATTCATGGACAATTGGAAAGGAATTGTACCTTTTACAATCAAAACACAAGAACAGAATTTTATTCTTAAACAATGTATAGTGAAATATCAAGATTTAGGAGTTTTAAACTAAATCATATTTTTTAAAATTTATATATTTTGTGCTTATTGAAAAAGAGAGAATTTTTTTACTATTTCTTTAAATAAAAATGGAAATAGTTGCTAAATAAAAATAACAATAAAAAAATTCATATTATCATCATATTGAGACTAAACATGCATGTTAGTCAAAATTGTCTCTGATTGTTGCCAAATCAGAAATGCTGAAATTAGTTGCTGAAATTATATCTTAACTTATTTGAACACTTTAACTCAATAGCCGAAATTCTGGGTAGTTTTTTTACGTCAACTGATATAAAGAACATTATAAATCTGAAATTGCTTGCCGAAATTGATTTTTTCAAAAACTATTTTGGTTAATATCCTTAATTGAGACTAAATTTTGAACCCTGAAATTCTTGGTAATACCAATGTTCACTTTGTCTGGTTTTGTTGCAGCATGCCCCATTTAATGTTGTGTGACAATAATTTTTATTAGTATCATGTGTAACCAATAAAATTCTTACCCTCTATAAATGCATCCCTCAATAAATGCACACTCTTGTCCATTCCCAAGAGGGGTACACTTATGGAGGGTTCACTGTATTATAAACACAAGAAAAATTCAAATTCATTATCATAAGAAAATTCAATTTTATTATACATACATTCATCCATTAATTATAGATGTAAGAAAATTCAAATTTATTATATATATTCATCCATTAATTCTATTTGTTATGGATGTAAAATTTATCTTCCCAATAATTCACATATATATATTCTTATTTATTAACTTTATTATAGTGTCAATTATATCAGAGCATGGTATTTATTAATGTATGAAATTTATAATAATCATGATGAACTAAAATTTTTTATTGAATAAAAATATTTATATAGTAACTTATTATAATTTGAACTATTAATATATCAAGAACATATTATATATTAATTCAAAAAATGGCATCCTTGATATTGCTTAATTCTAGGTATGCATGCATAATAGCTATAAATTCATATATTGTATATAACATATTAATATTAATATTTTACAAAATTTTCCAGAATAATTCCATATCTTTTATAACAATCATTTTCATAGCAATAAAAATTATAATTCATACAGAATTTCTGTATGCAAATTTTCTATGGGGCAGAACCACCCGTATTATACAACAGTATTAACATTATTGGCATACTATTATAAACAAAATATTGAGATTTACAGTGAGACACAGATTTTTATCTCAATTTTTATTATTATTATTTGTAGTGTTCATAGATGATAAAAATGTTAAAAACAGTATATATAAATGTTGAATATAAAAATACTAATAAAATAATAAATAAATAATACTAAATGATGATAAGAGGCATGACAGTAGGTCACTTCAATTATAAGGAGGGTTTGCTTTAATTTAAAAATCATCTGGTATAGTTAATTCAATTTGTTTAGATTCTATATAATTTAAAATATCATTAATAATAAATAATTAAGATTAAATATTTAACAATAAATTAGATAATTACCATTATTATTACTAATAATTGTAACTTTATTGGAGTTTACAGGTTGAGGATGATTTGTAAAATTCAATAATCTACTTGTATAAATAGCATTTGGATGAATAGTTGCCATAATTGTTGAAGGATTAAAGGGTTTTTTATCTGCTTCCTTAAATATTTTTCTCATTTTTATTAATTTATCAAACAGCTCTTCAGAATAAATAGGTCTACTTAATTTTAGATTTTTATCAACAGCAATTACATCTTTCCAAAAAGCAATAGTTTCTAAAATTTCATTTGCTGTTGGTCTTTTTTCAGGATCAGCATCCATGCATTTGTATGCTAACTTAATATAACATTCTTGTGTATTATCTGAAAAACTAGGTCTTAAGCCACCACAGAAAAGTTATTTACATGCTGGTTATTATGTTATCATAAAGAAAAATATATTTATTAATTAATTGATGTTTTAATAAAAAATTATTTTGTGTTATGAAAGTTAATTTTATAATATAATACTTACTTCCTGGTTATATAAAAAAGATTTATTAAATGATGCTTTAATAAATTTATTTTTGTGTTAATTTATAATATACTACTTACCAGCTGGTTATTTTAAATAAATAAAAATAAACTTATTAATTAGATATAAAAATTATAAAAGTTGATTTATAATACAATATAATACTTACCAGCTGGTTATTATAAAGAAATAAAAAATTAAGTTTATTTAATTGTTATAAAAGTTAAATTATAATATAATACTTACCAACTGGTTATAAGGCTCCTAACAGATCTGATCTGATCTGACCTGACCTGAAATCTGATCTGATCTGACCTGATCTGAAATCCGATCTGATCTGTTTGATCTGTTTGATCTGTATATTACAGGGTTGGCAAATTGACTGGTCCATTGAGAACAGATGGATTTTGGACTGGTCCATTGCCATTAATAAAATACTAAA